AAAAAATAATTGTGAAAATAAATTGTATTAAACTAAAAAAATCCCATATAGTGTTGTAAAGCCAATGCAACAGGTGGCACTAGCGCAGGAGAACCAGCATGGAAAGAGTAGCACATAGGCATGGCACTGACTGGTCTAGCTTCACCTTCCAAGCACAGTGATACGCAAAGACACATCCCACCCCATGCCCCTTCCCCAATTAAGTTAAGCTGATACCATCAATCTGACAACACTTCTACCCACCTCCCTCACCCACCTTTCTGTCCAAAAGCACTGTTTCTGTTAAAGCATATTCAATAATCTCAATGAGAAAGAAGGGAAGAGGGAACAAGACACAGGAAGGAGCAAGCAGAAAAAAATTTCTCAGAGATTTACTAAATCTGACAACCATTTGCTTTATCTATTTAGTGGCCTGATGATACGTAGTATTTCTGTTATCACTACATTTTAACATAAATAAGCTGTTTCTATACTGCCTGATCACAGAATTCAATTCAACTGGAATAACAAGGCGAAAGGAGCTAGCAGCCTAATACACAACCAAGACCTAAAAAACAAAAAAAGATTGAAGAAACTGAAAGAAAGTTTAGGAGAAAAGAAAAAAAAATAAGGTGAGTCAAAAACATTTATTACTAAAAACAGATAGTGAAAAACAGTAAGTGGTCACTACGAATTTCTTCTAAAACATGTAATCCACGAGAGTCACATGATAAGCATTAGAAATGAAACTTGTGAAAAGAGTAAGCTTTGAAAACCCAAGTAATGGGAGACTTTAAACCACTATACTCCTAACGACACTAAATTGAAGCAATCTATTATTCACAAAACTGACACACTGACCAACAATAGGAAGCTACTGAACTTCAATTACAGCAGCATAGGTATATGTAAGCTGTGAGCTAGCAATAATGAAAAACATGATCACTTATTAGTTAATTTTGTAATGGAAAAAAAACAACAGAGAAGAGTAAATTCTATGAGTTCTAGAAAACTTCATGCAAAGACAGTTACGTGATGATAAAGCAAATGGAATAAAGTGGTAGAGAAAAGATGAAAGGGACACATAAAGCACCCACATGCAAACGGATGATGATGCAATGACAGAGGGTGTTGTGTGTGTGTATATATACATATATATATATGCACACAAGTTAACAACAGGTAAATATGCATAAACACAGCTAAAAACCACATGCAAGTCAAAAAAACACACTCTTGCCTTGGAGCAGACACAAACATCCCTTTATAATTGATGACTGCTATGTACACATTCAAGCCCAGAGACCAAAGGGAAGCAAGTAATAAGGAGTTCATTTACAAAAGTGTAATTTTGGCCATGTTATCCTCCTGCTAGTTTTTAGCTATTCTAACATCGAGAATGAAATTTTCATGTAAGACATCCTTTTCTGACACCTTAAACTCCCTATATAACCGTAAACTCCAGTATCTTATAAAACCAAGACCGTAAGTATTGATTTGTTTTACCTTTCTTCCTTGCTTTGACGGCCTCTTCCCATAATCTCAGGGTCTCTACCTGCTTTCCAGGCCAACTTGTTACGTGTTGCTGCTGCTGCTGCTGCTGTTGCTGCTGCTGCTGTTGCTGCTGCTGTTGTTGCTGTTGTTGTTGCTGCTGTTGTTGTTGTTGCTGCTGCTGCTGCTGTTGCTGCTTCTGATTGCTGGTCTCTTCACTCATACATGCTATGCCAATTAAGTAAGAACACAAATTCACCTTGAAAAGTTACTGTTTTCTGCTGAGATCACAAAGGCTTTTTCCATAAAGAGCACGTGGAATCTCACAGGATTCCAAGAGCAAAAATCACAGAGGTGTTTAAAACCATATAATAATTCTCTGCTTTATAAAACTACTTTTCCAAAAGCTAAAAAACAAAATATAAGTCAGGAACATCTGCTTTCACGGCCAAAAATGAACTTTCTTTCTATTATTTTGTTTGTATTTTAGGAAAAATGAAATAAAAACTACGAGTCTCTAGAATTCAAGCTGGTTAGCTGATTCCACTTTTTCTAAACCTCATCTCCAGTTAACAACAACAACAAAAAATAATAAAAGCTTTATTACTTTTTATTGCAAGTATGACTTAAAATTTTCAGTCTACCTTTACATCACAGAACAGCATGTTACTGCTCTCTGGCCACATTACAGCTCATCATTTCTACCTCTAACAACTGCTGTAAATGCCTCATGAACTGGCTTAGCACCACCAAGCTGGCTTGGGAAGCCAGAGTTGTAACTCTATACCTTGAAAAATACTTCACATCCAAATTTCGTATTAAGCTCAACAATCAAGCATTTTAGACATTCCCAGTACCTTCAACTTTATCCAGGAGTAACAGGAGCTGAAAAGATGTTGTAAATTAACAGTTTAAAAGGCTTCAAGGACAAAGTTTCTAAAGACATTCCTTACTTCTCCCTCTTGGTTCCTCTGAAAACCCATTTTATATCACTAACCATGTGGGTTAACTTAAGATTTGAAAGTCAAGTCGTCTTTTGTTTACTAGGCACTCCCAGGTTCAGGCTTCAGCACTTCCACAGAGTTCAAGACTAGAAGAAACTATTACAAACACCCCATTTGAACACCTGCACACCACCAGTCAAATGCCACTAATGCCCAAAACATATCAGGGCTGGATTTAAATGCTTTTTTTGTCAGTTACTCCCAGAGGGAGGAATCATTGAGCCCCAGGGTCAAAGCTCAGAGAAAGCAGAGAAATCTTTCCCCTAATTTTGATGACCTTTAGATGAGGCTTCAAACCTGAAACTTGGCAGACCTTAGCAGTTTCTAGACATTCTAAAATCTCCAGAATTGTCTGTTGGACTTTTAGGCCTTTACATTTCTGGAAGTAGCATTGCACTCAGAAGATGAGAAAACTTGGGAACTCTTTTCTTCAAGAGATGGGCTATTCTGACAAACTGCAGGGCATTCCTAAGGGATAAGAGCACAGTCTAGCAGTAAACCAATTCCACATATGCCAATTCTTGAGCTGAAGAAGATTCTGTTATCAAATATCTATTTTTAATAGGTGTGAATACCCAGACTGATGGGTTTGGTTTTGCATTTTAACGTAATCAAAGGCAATTCCCTTTGCAAACACACTGTTATTAGAAATGTTTTTAAAACGTTCACCTACTTTTATTGATGCCTTGTTTACAGGTATTACAGTTGATACTTTGGCTCTGCCCGTGTGTCTTTAAGTGGCTGGTGATATATGCTGCACTCAGAAGTTTACCACAGATATTACACGATACCTTTCCTTCATGGCGCACCATGTGTGTCCGCAGTCTGTCTTTGGTGGCAAAGGCAGCAGTGCACGTCTATATGAAGGACAACAGTTACACTTGAAGTGCAGACAGCATCATTACAGTATGAATTACATGCCCACTGTAAGCCTATTTTACCTTGTAGGTGCAAAGAGTATCCTAAGTATATTGACAACCTTAAGTTTTACCTGTATGTGTAGAGAAACCAAAATCTAACTACTAAACAGAGACTGAAAATGGAAGTTGGCTTCTGAAACAATCAGGACAAAAATCACACCCTATACTACTTGAACTTTCCTAAAATAGCGGGTTGCCTTACCTACAAAAGCAAGAAGTAGCTTATAAAAAAAAAGCCCAGAACAGGCAAAGTTGGTTTCAAATACAATTTTACCGTACAAATATGAACTCAGTATCTTAAATTGCTCAATTACTTCTGTTCCCATCCAAATCAAAACAAGGAAACAAAACCTTTTTCTAACGCTGTTCTTACACAAGACTTCTATTTAATGTGATGAGTCACTAAAACACAGGTTGGAACAAGCATGGATATTCCAAGCAAAACAGTTAATTGTTCAAGGGCAGTCAAATTATTTCTCTTCTACTCAGTCATCATCTTACAACTTGCTTTCACCTTCCAGCAAAATAACGGATCCAGAATCAACTATTCCAATCCAATTTAAATGGATATACCGAGAAACATCTTTAATTTAAATATGCTGAGAAACACACTGCACACATTACTCCAGTAATCAGCACTGAGCTGAGGATGCTGTTACAATCCTACTACTAAGTTAAGCATATCATAAAACAGAGCACCTACATTGTTCTCCAAGAAAGCAAAAAGCCTCTAATGTTCCTAAAGAAAGTAGCCACAGTGTCCTTTTAAACCACCTCTACACTTACACCAGAACTACAGCGCTGCTGGTATGTAAGGCAGATGCAACTTTATTCCTAAACTTGCTTTTCAAAGAAAAGTTCAGAAACAAATACAGTTCTGGAAAGATTATTCACCTGAGATTCTAATGATACAATAAGTTATTGTTCTTAATAAATCATTTTAGCCCTTACTTGGCATTTGAAGGGTCTCTCTGTTGAATGAACATGTTTAACGTGACAGCTTAAATGATCAGGCCTGCAAAAAAGAGAGGAACAGAAAAGAAAATGCATACTGTTACAAACACATAGTAACGACACCTTGGCTAGCAGTGCTGAACACTGCACTGATGACCCCTTGCAGCCCACATCCCTCTGCACAGCAAGAATAAATACATTCCCCATACCTACGCAGTGGCTTTCAGCTCGAGTAACACATAGTTACGCTGAGACCCAACCTGCAGTTTAAAACTTAACCGTGTTCTTCTTCCACACCTGAAAATGGTACGTTTGGTCGTACCCTGTGTAAAGGTGACAGATCAACAGCTCTAAAGGTTGAAGTTTTCTCTGTTGCAAGCACAGATACAAATACAGCCAGCAGCAATGCAAGCTCCCCCACAATGCTCTGTCAGTACGCCTCAACCTTGCTCCGAGACAAGGAGACAGTTTGCCTGCTGTGCCCCATTCGGTCATTGACCTTTGCAAAGGCTGGTAAAGGGGCTCCGTGATCACCACCAGTGACACAGGCATGTGTCCTACAGGACCTGGATGAGGTCGCGAAATCATTTCAAAACATTCTCATAAAAGAGCGACCACTTTTGGCCACTGCCAGTCTGGCTCAGATCAAGACCCACACCCTAGAGGTAAACAAGGCTCTTTATCCCCTCACCAATCTTCTAAGATGTCTGGTTCTCCTAGCCCCTCGCTATGATAGCTTAACCCTTCTTGGTTATGAAAAGCCAATACTTGAGCTCGCCTGGGATTTTCTACATGGTACCTCGAGAAGCCTTTTCCACAAACACCACAGGTGTATGGTTTCGTGATGCCACCTTCATGAGACCTCACGTGGTAGGTCATGCGATCCTTTCTCTTGAAGCGTTGATTGCAAATTGGACATTCAAAGGGTTTTTCATCTGAGTGGGACAGCTTGTGCCGGTTGAGGTGGTAGACATCCCTGAAGGCCTTCCCGCACATCTCACAAGCGTGGTTCTTCTTAACGGGTTTGCTGGGCTTCTTCACTGTCTGAGTCACTGCCATGGCTGTTGCGCCGGCACTACTGCTGGGGTTGGTGGCAGAGGAAGACGTAGTGACTGTGGACAGGATGCCTGCGATAGTTGAAACCAATGAACTTCGGCTGTTGTCACCAGCGATGGTCGAGATAAGGGGCACCATTGTGGTGGGAGTTTTCTTTGGCCGTGACACTAACTTTATTCCTGTGTGGCAGGACTCGTGACGCCTCAAATGGTAGCTGTCCCTGAAAGCTTTGCTGCAGTAAGTGCACACAAAGGAGGTTTTAGGTTTTTCCTTTTTAATCCCAACAATAGCATCCTTTAATGTTTCTGGTGCAGGCTGAGGTTTCTGCGTTATTGGTAAGGGCAGAATCGGCTTCTGATCAGGTGGCTCAACAGCAGAGCTCAGGAGAGGCAACAAACTGTTCTGTGCTGCCTGCTGTTGGTGATGTGAGGCTTCATGTGCCTAAAACCAAACATTCACACTTAAATTCTATTGATGGGTGCTCACTCTGACACGGTGAGAACATTTACAAACTACAGGAAAGCACATTCTAGACTAAAAGCCATTGAAGTAACAACTGGAAAAGGTTACATAATTTTGTTTTTGGACAGGATAAACCGCTCGCGCTTTAAATGCATTTGCTGTGCAGATTCTGTGGTAAGTGTAGGAAGGCACACATCATAACAATCAAATAATTATTACGTTTCCGGAGGGCAACACTTCTTATGGAAAACAACTAGGTGCTTGTCAGATCTTTTACTAACACAGCATTTGATCTTTACATAACAGATAACTTGTTTTGCTAACGATCATATCAGATGCCACCTTGGGACTATCTCTGGAGCAAATGAATGTACTGATGGGAGTTGCAAAATAACGCCCCACCTTTAAGCCGAGCTTAGTGCACATTGAGAATTAAACTGCAGCCACAGAGCGCCAGGATGCGATAAGGCATCTTATTTAAACAACGTGTTCGTACCAGTGTGTTTGCACTGAAACCAAAGCAACTTGAATCGAGAGCTGTCTAAAACCACATTTCTATATTTAGCCGGTTCCCGACGCATTTGTACACTGACCACTGCACTCTTCGCGTCTGGAAACTAATAAGAATAGCAACATGTTCTTTTTCTCTTCGTCAGCAGCTACTATGTGATAGGAAGAGAAGTTAATCGATAAGCACTGGTAGACATCTAGAAATGCTGGAGAACACAGCTGTAGGGGGGTGTGTGTGCGCGTGTGAAAAAAAGACCTGAAATCTATTTCAAAACAGCCAATACCAACTGACTCCGAACTACAGAATCAGTGGGAGAAGCTAAAGGGACAGAGGGGGCACCCCTCACAAGCGTGCCGCAGCAAGGATCGCTCAGCGGAGCTGCAGCCTGCGCTGCTGCGGGCTGCTCTACACCATGCTTGTGTTAGGCATTGTTTATTCTAAGGCAGAAAACACTGTTATTAAAACTCATCCAGTCGGACTGGGACAAAACCCTGGCAGATACAAATTTGAAGTGGTTTAGAAACCACACAGACCAATTCAGCCTAATGGAGCATTAAAATAAATCACCCTAGCACCTTAAGCCAGTTTAAGCGCATCTGTATTCAAGATGTGCCTCAGTCTCATCAGACCAGTTTTAAATCAGTCTCGTTATTAACACAGCGTGCCAGGTCTGAAGCTGATTTTGGGGGAAACTTGCATTCCCATTAGATCAGTACTGCAGCTTTCCAGGACTTCTTCCCTATGGTTTCCTTCACAAAATAACACCATTCGAGGCTGTGAGAGCTGAATAAACACTGTGCTGGCTCGCGACCCCCAACATTGCCTACTTTTACATCGGTTAAGGACGGACAGCATTACGAAGAGCGCTCTGGCTAATACTCTTCCTACGTGAATCCATTTCATTGCATCCTTTGGAGAAGTCTGTATTTCTAGAAGCTCACTTTGGGACTTTTCCTCAGTTGCATCCAAGCCTCGGGCCGCTTCGCCTCTCCCGATCGCAGCAGTGACTACAGCCACCTCGGGGCAACTCTCCCTCGGCTGCAGGGGGGCTCCCGCCTCCTCCTGCCACCGCACAAGCTCTGCATCACTTTAGTCACTCATTTTTCAGGAGCGCAATGCCGGTGATCTTTGGATAAAAGCCACCAGTGGATACAAACACTAACCCACGTGGGTATGAATACGTGCTCCCTAACACTCCAAGCCTATCTGACAGGAAAACGGTTCACGGGAGAAAACGGTATGATAATGGCAGACAAAACTTGCGGGAACCGTTAGGAGCCAGGCCAAGCTGTCCAGTTTTATCTGCATTTTACGTCCCATCTGTGCCGAAGCTTGGGATGCAACAGGTAAGCTGAATATTGCCACACCACGCCTGGCCACAGCAGCCACCTCAAACAACTGCCTAAGGGGCTGGTCTGCAGAAGCGATTGCTGAAGAGTCGAATGCAGAACTCTCCTGGAGGCTACGCTGCTAAATCAGGGCACGGCACCAGCTCCAGCGTCTCCATTAAACTTTTGCCTGACTTCAGTGACAATTGTGGATTTTCAACCATTTATTTTCCGTGTTTTTAAAAAGCGATTGAGACATCTACATTGCATAAGAAGAATAGAGTAGGTACAATACACATTGAAAGTACAATATTAAGCAAGTTGTGTACTTAAATACAATTTTAATTTTAAAAACTTCTGAAATGTTTTACAGCGAACTTTAAATAAGCATTAAACAATATTGTTAAACTGCATCAGAAGACACTTAAGAGCACCTAAGGATAGCTCCAGAGATACAGTTTCAAAGGCAGAGCTAGCAGATCGGATAATAGAGAGCCCAAATCCTTTGGACAAGGTTCAAACTTATGCAGTTTATGGATATTTTTAAGCCTTGAAGAATTGTCAGCACTTCAAGGTAATGATGCACTTATTCCTACGGAACCGATAGAGACAGTGGACATAGAACAATGTATATTCATAAGGCTACAGGCTATGAAGCCACTGCTTATATAAGTCTGCTTATCTTGCTTCCCAGATAGCCAGTGTTATTAGCAGCGCTGTCTTTCTAACAACCCCTCTTTGCAACAAGCAGTATTCCTCAGTTTCCAAGGGCTGCCTGCATTAAAGCCTTTTAAAAAAGGATCAGGCAGTATTTTTTTTTAACTCGCTGTACAAGAAGGGAAGACGGCACCTGCTGCATGCCTCTCGCCAGTCATTTTTATTCAGGCACAGACCACGGTTTTACTTGACCTGGCATTAATGTCAAGTCAACATTTTTGCAATATTTTGATTGTCTGGGTCAGGCTCTCGTGCAAAATACCCTCATTCTATCACTTATTTTTTCTTTCCTGGGGAGCAGTAAACAAAAAAAACCCACACAACAACCTGTAATTTGTGACCCGGAGTAGTAGGATGTGGCATTGTGAACTTCCAATGCCAGAGGCTAAAATATTTTTGCGCTCCAGCCTTAATGTGAGAGCAACAAATTAGCATGAGTCATATCTTGAACACTCTGATGGATGATTCCTCCTTGCATTAACAGATACAACTTTCACTTTCCGAGCAGATACTAAAAGTGGTTTTCAAAACATGCATTTCAGGGACTAATAATATCCAAACAAGAGCTGCTTATTCAGTCTCACAATCGTTTCTTTAAAAAGATACAATTCATCAAAATGCCACCTAAACACAATCAAACAACTTTATTTGGAAAGAGCAATTTACAGTCACATATCCCATTGCTAGCAAGACTAAAATTAAGACATTGCAACCTCCTCTGAAAACATTCTGCTAAAAATTACAACTTCGCACACCGCGTATTAAACTGTCCCTTAGAAATCCTGTCACAGCTGAAACACACGCTTGGTAAAAATCCCCCCACGAAGAATGAGCGTTTATATTCAGTCACTTGCATTTGTTATTTAACTGATACTGGGGAAGGGGGCTGGGAGAGGCTTTTAAATCCACTTTTTGTTACTAGTTCTGACTAATCGGTTGGGTCTTGGCTGACATGCTGTCGGTGAGAATGGGAAGGAGAAAAACTAAAGTCACATCAGGAGTATCTTAACAGTGCTTTCGGCTGGGTGCATTAGAATGCTTGCACCCTAAATGGTTGGTTTTAAAAAAATGACTCAAGAAACAATATTCAGCATTTATTATGAGGTCTTAAAGCTTTATTATTTGGGGCCAAAAGAAAAAAAAAAAAATCCGAGGAAAATTTCCACGTCACAGTTTTATGAAGATGCTTCCAAGTCGCACATAGCGAAGTACGTTAGGAAAGTGAACTGCTGGCTCCTTAATTAAAAGCAGCAAAGCCTACTCCTAAATCAAAGCGTGACATCGGTATTTCAAAATACAGTACCCTTCAAAAAAAAATAAAGACGAGCAGCAAGAAGCTCGACACGTACTTGAAAGTATTACTTGGCACTTCTCGCAGAGGTTACTGCAATACCGTATGGCCAGTCTACGAATAATTTCCCCTCCAAAACTCTCATCTGCAAGCCTGGGAGGCAGAATGGCGATAAACCAGCCCCAACTCAGAGGGAGATGGCCCTAAACTAAGGAGATTAACTTCTTAGCGCGAAGTTTCCTATGTGCGAATCACAACTGCCCACTAGAGTGAGAAATAATTCGCAAGACCTCAGCCAAACGCGATGGCATCACCCGCATTCATCGCAAAAAGTCGGATAACCCAGCGCCCAGCTCCCGGTACCAGCTCCCCGGAACATTCCCTGCATGTTTTTGAAGGCAGAGCACCCCAGCCAGTGACTCATCCCTCCGTGCTTGCAAGGGAGGGATTTTTCCTCTCTAAAGGAATGGTGCTGCTCTTGGCGGATTTATTCATTCAACTCAGGTTTTCAAACTCATGTCACGAGTTGGGTTTGGGTTCAGTTCCGAGGAGGACAGTGAGTAAGCGAGTGACCGCTGCTGAGAATGTGCAAAGAGGATTATTTTACCTTGAGAAAGGTGATGTGTGGGGCTTTTTTTTTTTTCAGCTGCTGCTGCAATTACACATCTTACGTTTTCAAGCTCAAAAAGAGCAGGAGGCATCAGAAAATAACCCGGTGTGAAAAGACTCGGCTCACAAAAGCCAGGGGAGGATTATTTTTTTAAGTTTTTTGTTTCTTTTGCTACACTGGATTTTCTTCGGAATTACATAAACAGCGGTGTTTTTAAGTCACTCTTTCGCGGACAGAAGGGGGGAAAATTGTGACTCAGTTGGCAAAGGGAGGGGTTGCACGCTCCACCGTCCCTATTCCTCCCTGTTACCGTTAGCATTTCGCCAGTTTTTACAGAAATCCGGCCTGCTCGCGTCCTATTTTAAAAGAAAACAAGCTCCCTCGTCACCCAGGCCCTGAGTCAGGCTGTTTAAAGAGGGATTAATTTATTCTCCCAGACACGGTGTTTGTTCCATCGGGGTTTTGTTAGAGCCCGGTGGAAGGCTGGGGTTGTATTTTTTGTTTTTCTTTTTGGCGGGGGGA